CCCCAAAACCCCAAAACCCCAAAACCCCAAAACCCCAAAACCCCATAATTAATACTTATAATTTAAAAAATAAAATTAAAATAATTCTTTCATAATGCAAATAGGAATGAATGCATCAAAGAGTAAAGGAGGAATGAACTCAGTTACATACTCTACACTTGCCAATGTCCCGAAAGCTAAAAGACTGAAGATTGTTAACGAGTCTAAAAATCTTCTTGGCGCATCAAAGAAGTGAAAAGATATCTGGAATTCTATAAGAAAAGCTGATTTTAGGAAAGAAGGCATTTTAAATGAAGCTAATATGCAACTAGTCTTTAGCAATAAGAACAAAGAATACATCACTGATATGTTAAGAGTCAGTACTGTTGAAGATTTCATTTCTCTGTTTGATCTAGACAGAGATGGCTTCCTCAATCAAGATGAACAAATCTCTGTGTTCTCCCTAGTAAAAGAAAAATGTCAGATTCTCTGTGAAGAACTTGCTGCCATTCATGAATACCAGCTTTACAAAGACATTATGAAGGAGGTAAGAGCTCTTGAGAAGGACATCGTCATATACCAAAATGATCTCAGATCTGAAATTCAAAAGAGACAGTTAGATGAGTATATCGAAATCGGAGAAGAGAAACTCAAGGACTTCCATAAGCAATGGGAATGCAATTTCGAAGACTTTGAAAGAGAGTCTATGAACAAAATTGAAGAGCTCAAAAACCAACATGAAAATGAGATGGAAGAACTTAATATGAGACTTGATAGAGCAGTCGAAGCTGTCAAGGTCAAGCCAAAAGCTAGACTCAAGGAACTCCAGACTCAAGAAAAACTTGTCGCAGCAAATGAAAGAATTGAAGAAGCTATTAATTACAGGAAGGAGCTTAAAGATTTTGAAGTTGAAGAGGCAAATAGAGTTGAAGGTCTTAGACATGATAATGCAATGAAGCAAAGAAACAAATTACTCTCAGACCAAAAGAAGGAGATGCTCCAGTTAGAGTCCAAAATAGAGACTGCTAGAAACAACTTGAGGATCAAGATGGATAAAGAGTTAAACACTCTTCAAAAAGAGATCAACCTTCATGTCAATGATATTAAGAGAATTCAAGGGCTTATCTCAAGACTTGCTGTAAAGAAAGGAGAGACAAATGATGAACTTAGAAGAAATAAAGATAGAGCCAAGAAAACAATGAATCAGATTAAGAATGCTAGAAAAATTGGAGGAGATGCTGAAAGAACTATGAAAAATACCTTAGTGACTACTGGAGCAACAATCACTGCTGGTCATGGCTTTAATGCAGCTGCAGCAAGCACTTTGTTATTAGGTGGAAATGTTAGAAATATGATGACTGGAGGGATGCTGAGTAGTTCCCTTGGAAATACAAGTAGTTCTGGAAATAACTTTGCTAATCAGGCAAGACCCTTAAAATACATTCTCACCCAAGCACCTATTTGTAAATTTGATATTTCTGCAAATAGTGGACAAGAGAAGAGACCAATTAATAAAGAGGAAGATCCAACTAAATCAGATATGGACTTGAAAGGAAAAATTAAAACTCTCTTGGACCAAAGAAAACCCCCTACCGAGAAAATGCCTTCACTCTGAGAAATGTACGATGATGACCTTAATTTGATTGATCAATAAATTTACCCAAGCAAGGGGTTTTGGGGTTTTGGGGTTTTGGGGTTTTGGGG